ATTAATAACAACATTAGACTGAAACATTTTACCACTTAACTATTTCATAAACCAAGACGGGCTATAATGTCGCTTTTAATGATCACTTGACCTTATCTTAAAGCATGCTTAAAATCTTGTGTACTTACAGATCATATTCTTTTAGTAAGGCAAAATCATTGTTAGTAGCATTAAACTATCATTGGAACTGTATATATCCTATTAAAGTGAATAGGCAGCTATTTTAGAGTTATTTTTGCGTTGCCAAATGGCATCATTTTATCAAAAACTAATCAGCCACTTTAAATTTAAACCATTTACATCAATTCTGCCAAAAGAGTTACTTTTAAAAGATTATCCACGTAACTCATAAATTTATGCATTTTGTATCCACACTTGTCTTAATTCTATCCAACTTCGCAGTCTATGTGGACAACGCAGAATTAAATAATGTCAAGTTCTTCCAAGTATCGCCATGCTGGCGGACCCACGTGAAGCATTTTTTAATTGGCACGCTGTCATTCGGGTTGCCTCTTTCCGTTCCTGCAGCACTACAGCCAGGGCCTTCGCAACAGCAATCGCCACTATCACCAATCTACTGTTCGTCCTCTTCAGCCAATACTTCTACTACTACCACAATTTCTACCTCCTTAGGTACCCCTGCCCGCTCCGCTGGCTCAAGCGGCGTCGCAGACATCGATATAAGCAATACTTTCGTGGCTACAGTCACTATGACTCCAGCCTGTTAAGACAATTCTATCGATCATAATTAATAACCCGATTTTTGTATAAGTCTTCGACCATTGTTCATACCCATCTATACTTACATAGCCTTGGATTTGTACTTGTTTGGCCATCTTTTCAGCTGCATTTAAATTTATTTGGTTTGCTTGCCTGTATATCTCTACTGTTTCCCTTCCCATGGCACCATGTTTTACACTGTTTATACCTCCACCTATCGGTACTGTTATACATGTTTGTATATATGAGCGAATCCTTAATCTATTGTTATTTCACTTTTGGGTAACAAATTGAAAGTCAGAAAAGTCTCATTCCCCCTTCGACACAGAGTAATTATTTATTAGACCTTCGTATTAAAGTTAAATCTCTTCCATGATGCGTTACTTCAATTGATTTCTCGTTCTGTCTCTTGAAAATCTAAGGCACATGATGAATTTATACTCTCAGTATCTCCACTATAACTGGCATCATGACTAAATAGATCATTCAGTTCACAATACTTTGGTTCTAATGTCATTCTTCTTATTCCTATTTGATGTATCTAGTCCTTAAACTCCAACAGAATTTACCTAATCAGTTTCCAATCTTGTCAAACGGAATTTAAGAATCATGATTTCCCCCTCCCCTTATAATCTATGAAATTGTGATTACTTTTATTTTCTACTACAGTCTCTTGAGTCATCAGCTCTTTTCCCATCGATTTACCTGGCCCTTCTAATATTCTTGTCATCCATTCCTGTTTTTGTCAGGATATATGACTTTCTC